CTCGTCGGAAATGTAACGCCCCTTACCATAATCGCGAGCTTTATCTTTCAAAATAAATGTAAAGACAGAGCCCGAAAGGGGAACAGAGTCGCGTGACAGACACAGTGATGAAGCTGGTATGTGTTTGTGATGTCTCTCTCTCTCTCTCTTGCGCGCGCGCACACACGATGCGCAAAACTCTGCATTTGAACAGTCAATAGCAAATACTTGAACTAATAACAAAACAGTAGCTGATTCAGAAGCGCCAGATTGTCATAGCAAAGTCAGAATGACCTCCTCTCCTAGGTTCACGAAACGGTCGTCCATAAAATGCATTGCTGTTCTGTTGTAAGTAATCTTAAAGATTCCTAAATGCATCTACTTTAGGAAGGCCAAATAAAGTGCTTTTGCTTTCGCCTAGAAACACACAGTGTCTCCCTGACATGCTGCTTCAACACTAACTGCGGTTACTGAAACCACACCTTCTTTCTTTGCGTGCACATTTGGGCGGCATTATGCTAATATTTCCACATAGTGAGGTAGATATGTGGGGGCGTGTTAGAACGAGCCATTTTAGGGGGGCATGACAGAGTCTTAACTTTAATAAAGAATATCTCTTTGGTTTTGAGACTTTAGTCTTTGCAGCTTCAGGGATCTTATCTATGCACAATCAGCTTGTAACACTCCAAAGAGAAAGGAAAACTTGAAATCGCATCATATGACCCCTTTTTAAGGCCTGTCCACACCAAGGATAATAACTATAAAGTTAAATGTCTTTTTAATTCTATGAGAATAGCAAAGTCCACACCACAGCTATAACAATAGTGCCACAGAGGAACAATATAGTTAAATTCATTTTCGGAACTCTTTTTTTCCAGCTAATGATTGGTAAAAACAGACAGGCAAACCGGCAGGCTACAAAACTACAGCGTACGGATAGTTCCGGTCCTTGATTCTGATTGGTTGAGCCACGTTCAAAGCTGTTGTAAATTACTCTACAAACATTCACCTTTGTTTACTTTGTGTGTTGCTTGGCAACCACTTTGTTGCAACCACAACTGTGTCTGAGGAACTGTTTGGTGGAAGAATACGATTTCTGAATCGTATTCCGAAACTCATTCTGATTCTGATTTGCTCTGTTTTATTTTGTGAAACTAACTACGTATATGGAATAAACGGTTTATAAAACCATTGGGGAAGTCATGGCCTAATGTTTAGAGAGTCGGATTCGTAACCCAAAGGTTGCGGGTTCGAGTCTCGTACCGGCAGGGATTGTAGGTGGGGGGGGTGAATGTACAGCACTCTCTTCCACCTTCAATACCACGAGCAAGGCACTGAACCCCCAACTGCTCCCCGGGCACTGCAGCATAAATGGCTGCCCACTGCTCCGGGTGTGTGTTCACTGATGTGTGTGTGTGCACTTTGGATGAGATAAATGCAGAGCACTAATTCCGAGTATGGGTCACCATACTTGGCCACATGTCACTTCACTTTTCACTAAAAGCAATAAGCCCCGTGAATAAATTCACTGTAAACCACGGCTTCTTGGGTCTTCTGAAGCGAAATCATAGGTGTGTGTATGAAAGACTTTAACTATAAATAATTGCTTATGGCCAGCTTTTGTATGCATATCCACCCTTAATTACTGTTGCATCATGTCTTTATGCAGTAAAGAAATACATCGCGGAGCAAAGAGTACACTGACAACACGACCACAGACAAGAAAGAGCAGGTTACTTTTGGAATAAAACAAAGTTGTTACTTTTTTTATTTTTTTTTTAATTCAAACAATAAATACCATTTTGTTGCTTTTTACGTGAACCGATCGTGAACCGATCATCTCTTCTTTACTAGTTATAGCACAAAATAAACATGAATGAACATCAAAGGTAACTTGTTTCAACCACGGAAAGACGTCAATTCACAACATTTTTCAAGTTCAAGTCCACTGATGTTAACCACTGTCCTGTCTGGTTTGTTTGTCAGACAAACTGGCAGATTCAGCGTTATGATTAGCCAGATCACCTGTCAATCAACCTCTCTGCAAAGTGTGAATTCCTTGGGAGGTGACAATTTTGTATGAATTTGTACATTGTGAATGTTTTACAACATAACTCTCACTGGGGCAGACCATACGAAAACGTATGAATGAGCCACAACATAAAATAGTTATGATTCGCCATGAGATTGTTTTGGAAGTTAGCATGAGGGCAAAATAATTCCCTATGCAGATAGGGAATGTAGTTGGTTGCGTGATTTTGCCACACTGACCGCAACAGAAAGCTGCTGTGTTTGAAAGTCACTTCTGTCTGAGCAGTATTTCATACACTGCTAAAATATTGACAAGGGACATCTGAACTTTTTTCCACAAAAATTTGCACCTTTAGTCAAGTGAAATTCCCCCAGTATGTTTTGTATACTTTATCATCAATTACTCACCCATGTGTGACTTTAAACCTGTATGACTTGCTTTCTCAGAAGAATGTTGGTAACCAAACAATAAGCGGAATATTTCTCAAAATATGTTCTTTTATATTCCACAGACGAAAGAAAAACCTACAGGTTTGGAATGACATGAGGGTGAGTAAATCTTGACAAAATGTCCATATTGAACTACCACTTTAAGCGCTTCAGACTGTCCCCTCCTCAGTTAGATCAATAATCAGTCCGGTTGAGACATTGAGATCTGTGTTAGTGTAATAGCAATCGACCCTACCAAATGCTGCCGTTGCTATGGTAACAAGTGGCTCTGCCATTAGACTGAAAGAGGGCTCGGACTGGACAGAGAGGAGTCGGCATGTCATCATGTATGATACAGATCCTTTCCTTCTTGCTGCTGAGAATGACGAGAGCCAGGTTTCCTGAGGGATAGCTGTAGCCATGATAATAAGGACAAACAACAGCAATACGTAATAGACTAAATCCATTTTCAAATTACTTCAAAATCATCTATAGTTTTTTAATGATTCATTGCATCACTCTCTTGCCCTTATACTTGTACACTTTAAAAATACTTTGTGTTTTCTGTCTCTTAATGAAATTTAAAGTCACAGACAATCCTAGAAATTAATAATTACTTTATTTATTTAAAGTTTACATATGGTTTTTGTTGCATATCATATTTGATACATCAGGTTTTCATGTCTCATATAGTATTATAATACTATATATATATATATTATTCAGAGGCCCAAATTGGAAAAAAAAAACTAAAAAGAAAGAGAAAAAAAATGTGCAGTTGCTAATATTTACCAGATCAAAATTAAGGTGCAAATCTGAGCTGATCTTGTCTATAAGAGTATAGCAGATTACTTACATAAAATGAAAATAAATATCAGATCAGGTATTTGCCCCCTTCCCGTTTTTTATTTTTATGCATATTTGCCACACTTAAAAGATACAGATCATCAAACAAATTTGAATATTACACAAAGATAACCCAAGGAAATACAAAATGCCGTTTTGAAATAATGATTTCATTTATTAAGTGAAAAAAGCTGTCCAAACCTACCTGGCCCTACGTGAAAAAGTAATTGTCCCAGTAATTGCACAATAGCTTTAAGTTGTCTAATTTGGCACGGTCTCTCTGCTGCACTTATAGTAGTGAGCCATTCGTTTGTGTGTACATATACTTACAAGTACAATGTTAGCTGCATTATTTGTGTCCCCTTCAACAATTGCTCTTGAGAAATTTTATGTTTATTGTCCCCCCCCCCTACTTTTAAATTAAATTTACACCCCTGGTCATGCCACAGCGTCTCAATCGGATTTAAGTCCGAACTTTGACTTGGCCACTCCAAAACCTTAATTTTGTTTTGACACACACCTTCCAAAAAGTTCAACTTTTGTCTCTGTCCACAGAATATTTGGTCTTGGGGATAATCAAGATATTTTTTGGTAAATGTGAGACGAGACTTTGTGTTCTTTTTGGTCAGCAGTGGCTTTTGTCTTGGAACTCCCATGGATGCCGTTTTTGCCCAGTCTCTTTCTTATTGTTGAATCATGAACACTGACCTTAATTGAGGCAAGTGAGGCCTGCAGTTCTTTAGATGTTGTTCTGGGTTCTTTAATGACCTCTTGGATGAGTCGTCGTTGTGCTCTTGGAGTAATTTTGGTAGGCCGGCCACTCCTGGGAAGGTTCAACACTGTTCCAAGTTTTCTCCATTTGTGGATAATGGCTCTGACCGTGGTTCGCTGGAGTCCCAAAGCCTTAGAAATGGCTTCATAACCCTTTCCAGACTGATACATATCAACTATTTAGATCGTGGCATGATGTGTTGCTCTTTAAACATGCTTCACTTGAAATTCAACTCGGCTTTCTAAAATAATGTGGTTAATCACAGTTCTTTCATAATTTAACAGGAGGGGGCAATCATTTTTTCACGTAGGGCCAGGTAGGTTTGGACAGCTTTTTTCCCTTAATAAATGAAATCATCGTTTAAAAACTGCATTTTGTATTTACTTGCATTATCGTTGTGTAATATTAAAAATTGTTTGGTGATCTGAATCTTTTGTGTGACAAATATGCAAAATTAAAAAATAAACAGGAAGGGGGCAAAATCTTTTTTACGGCACTGTATATGATTAAAGCTCTGTTTTTATGGCGGGGGGCAAACATATAATGCAATCGCAATGAAATGATAACAAATAAATCAACGAATAAACGCTCCACAAAAACCTGATGTACTTGACGTGCATGATTTTTCTAAAACTCGCGCATAGATAATCAAGTAAACCTAAATGGCTTCAGTCCAGTAAGTGTTCATCTCTAAATATTACTAACAATATAAAAGTTATTCTTACATATACAAGATCATAAATGAGACATATAACACAACCTGAAGTGGGAAAATTTAAATGATACTTAAAGGCCTTTTACTTACTAAAAAATATGAACTATCAATCAGATGACAGAAGGCATGTAGTAGATTGTGTACAACAGGTTTTTCAACAAAGTTTTGATCATGTTGATAATTTAGAGGCCTTGGAAATTTGCGCATCAAATATGGTACAGTAAGATTTATACGGTTAAATAATAATGGATGAGTGGGCATATATAGCCGCTTTCACACAGCTATTGCTGCTTAAAAGAATCCATTTAGTATTTCACGTTATCAAAAGGATACAAAACTTGTGCAGAAGCATCTGGAAACACAGTGAGAAATTTATCTCCATTAGAGTAGTACTTCTCCAAGAAACTTGAATTGTACTGAAAAAAGAGACCAGAGCGTTTAGTTCAAGCACATGATGATACAACTTTCTAACACGGTAAATTATGGTTAGTTACCTGGTGATGAGTTAAACCAAACTGAATTGACCCCGGGTCTGAAGACTCATGTGTCCATTGTCCAGAGGTCTCGTCCACATGCATGTACTCTTTAACTTTACAAACATCCTCATTGGGTGGACAGTTAGAGAGCCGGAAACTGATGACTGTTTTATCATGAGGCACATCTGGGGAAAGAAACCATTAATTTACCTCATCAACATCTCTGTAATATCACATCACACACAAACTAATAATTTCACACTATGAGAAACAGGTGTTTGAAGTCATTCAAATATTTAGTGGGTGTTATACAGTACATCTGATACATTCAATTTTATCCTACATATTAAATAAATAAACAAATCAAAATGTCTAAACAGTGGAAATGGTTTGATTTTAAATGCCGGCTTGTGAAATATGAAAGCACTTTTATTTTCCCTTTACTACAGTGACTGGCAGGCATACACTCTGGCAAAAGACTTTCCAGGTATGTCACGGAATAATGATTTTTATCATTATTTTGACATTTTCTGTAATATCATTTACACATGATTTGATGTAATGGAATATAGGGTCAGTGCATATAATATTGTCCATGATAAAGAAAATATTTTTAAAGTTTAAAATGGCTGTGCCAAATTCTTAGAAATGTAGTCTTTGCATTGTTGGCGTCAACGTTTATACCATTTTCAAAAAACGTTAAAACTTAACGACACAAAAATGTTATGTAATCTTGGTGTAACCATCAAGTTAAAAAAAAAATTATTTTCCTTACACATTGAATACATGTACACTAGGGTGGCCCTTATTTTTGGACTTGCGAAAATCCTCCGTTCTCACCCACCCAGTCAACTCTCCAAATGGAAACAAACCAAATTTCGTTCAACAAAGTTGAAATTCTGTCTTAATGACCATAATAGCATGCAATTATACAAAGCCATTAGTAAACTGTGAATTAGGTTAAAAATGAGAACACGGAACAGTGTTGCTAGTCTTAAAATGTTAAATTATGTTTAATTGTGCCGATAGTCTTGTGGGTGCCATTGGGCTTCAGATGTCCCGAGTTCGAGTCCCGGCTCACAGACCTTTCCCGATCCCATCCCCTTCGTTTCTGTCCACTGTCAGCCATGCAAGTGCACACATACAGCAGTAAGTAGTGAACACTGTTCACACACACCCCGAATAGTGAGCAGCCATTTACACCAGCGCCAGCTGAAGCTGTTGTGGGTTCCTCTGTGCCTTGCTCAAGGGCACCTCAGTTGTGCTTACTAAAGTTACCGAAACTCGAACCCACGACCTTCAGGTTACAAGTCCGACTTTCTAACCATTAGGCCACGAACGCCCCTCATCTCTGATATCAGAAACGGTCAACATTTTATCAGTGAACAAAAACTTTGCTAATATCACCAATTAGCTCTTGAAGTACCTGTTGATAAAAATATACATTCATTGTATGTAATATACATTGTGACACCCTAAATGACAAATTATCTGGATGGTATTTTGCATACTTCTAGATGAGAAACAAACGAGGGGGTGAGAGGTTAACATTTCCACACACAAAAAATGACTCACCAAATAGGCTCACCCTAACGTTCACATCAATATTTAAAGTGCCCTTATTATGGGTAATGAAAGGTTCATATTTTGGTTTTGGGAGTCCCCAACAACAGGTTGACATGCATGCAAGGTCAAAAAACACTGTCTTATAATATGCTTTTATTTTTACCTTATTTGCTCAACGACTCCCAAACCATGCGCTCAACGATTCATTTTTCCAAACCCCTCCTTTGCGTGACGCAAATATGCGGTGATTGGTCCGATTGGTCTCATTTTCATTTCATCATGCCTGTAATGCCTGATAAAGCATGTTTGTGAGCGCAGTGCTGCTTTGTGTACAGCGTTACCGGGGAAACAGCTATTTTTACCACTCCTAAAGAGGCACCTAGTGGCAAAGAATGAATTTGGGCGGGCAATATGCTAATGTTTCATGTTGACGTCAACATGAAACGGCTTGGGATTAGTTTTAAAAACGACTCGTTTCAATGATTCAGAGTCAACTCTTTCTTTTGAAAGACAATAACTTTATACATGGAGCACTTTCAGATTTAAAACTTTGCAGGATGTTTTCATTCACTTAGAGCTGTGTTACACACTGCATGAAAGGTAATTTTCAAAAATCCATAATAGGGGCACTTTAAAAAAAATGTAAATATATTTCATATTATCATCTTGTTCACTGAAGAAGTCCTGAATCAGACATCACTAAAACTAATCCAAATGTGTGTCTGTTTACCACACAAACTTACTGTACGACTTCAGATTTATAGAATATAGTCATATGGACCACTTTTGTTATGCTTTTATTGTGATGTTTTATTGTATAACAGGTAGTAAATAATGACAAAATGTAGCATTTTTTGTTAATGGTCCATCCATGGGCATCCTGTCCAACACATGTGGATACTCACTGTTGTTTGATGCCAATAAACTGGAGTGAGCATCTCTGTCATATCTCTGCATCTCTCTCTGCTGCTGTCTGAAACTAAGCCAAAGGTGGGAATAAACAAGTAAACAAAATCATTTAATTCTGTGGAAGCATATTTTACATTTTCATAATATGATTAAGTTACAACAAAGTAGCCTATGTGCCATGTCAGTACATAAGATTTAAAAAAAAATGTTTTTGAAAGAGGTCTATTATGTTATTTGCAGTGGCCTTGAGAAGTTTAAGGAAACGAAGAACAATTTATTTAAATTATAAATCTTTTGTAAGTTTATAAATGTATTTCCTGTCAGTTTACCATCTTTACTGTGTCACTATCAATTCACTGCATCCTTGTTAAATAAAGTTAGAAGTTTTTGTTTTTTTTTAAACTGATGCCAGAACATAAGTGTATTGTACAACACAAACCTGCGTTTTCCTCTTTCTTGTGCTTTATCTTGTAGTTCTTCGTCCTCAGTGATGAAGGGGTCATCTAGTCGAGCAGGTCCACTAGGCCTTGCATCAGAACGTTCCATAGCTAGATGCTTTTCATGGACCACAATCTCAAACAACTCTCTGTATTTCTCACAGCAGAAGTCCTGAAGTCCAATTAGACGATCATAAACTCAAGGGGAAAAAAAGTGCTGAAGCAGTAAGTGTTAGTGTCAGCTACATTCTTTCTCAAGAGACGAACCTCTCGTGTCTCTGCATAAACCGGATCCAGAGGCGGCCAAGCTCTCGAACCACAGAACTGACAGCATATTGGAGAGTCCAGTTGCTGTTGGGGCTGGGTAAAAACAACAGTGTTGGGGGTAACGCATTACAAGTAACGCGAGTTACATAATCAGATTACTTTTATGTTTAAGTAACTAGTAATGTAACGCATTACTTTTTAATTTACAAGAGAATATCTGAGTTACTTTTTCAAACAAGTAACGCAAGTTACGAGCTGTGTTACACACTGCATGAAAGGTAATTTTCAAAAATCCATAATAGGGGCACTTTAAAAAAAATGTAAATATATTTCATATTATCATCTTGTTCACTGAAGAAGTCCTGAATCAGACATCACTAAAACTAATCCAAATGTGTGTCTGTTTACCACACAAACTTACTGTACGACTTCAGATTTATAGAATATAGTCATATGGACCACTTTTGTTATGCTTTTATTGTGATGTTTTATTGTATAACAGGTAGTAAATAATGACAAAATGTAGCATTTTTTGTTAATGGTCCATCCATGGGCATCCTGTCCAACACATGTGGATACTCACTGTTGTTTGATGCCAATAAACTGGAGTGAGCATCTCTGTCATATCTCTGCATCTCTCTCTGCTGCTGTCTGAAACTAAGCCAAAGGTGGGAATAAACAAGTAAACAAAATCATTTAATTCTGTGGAAGCATATTTTACATTTTCATAATATGATTAAGTTACAACAAAGTAGCCTATGTGCCATGTCAGTACATAAGATTTAAAAAAAAATGTTTTTGAAAGAGGTCTATTATGTTATTTGCAGTGGCCTTGAGAAGTTTAAGGAAACGAAGAACAATTTATTTAAATTATAAATCTTTTGTAAGTTTATAAATGTATTTCCTGTCAGTTTACCATCTTTACTGTGTCACTATCAATTCACTGCATCCTTGTTAAATAAAGTTAGAAGTTTTTGTTTTTTTTTAAACTGATGCCAGAACATAAGTGTATTGTACAACACAAACCTGCGTTTTCCTCTTTCTTGTGCTTTATCTTGTAGTTCTTCGTCCTCAGTGATGAAGGGGTCATCTAGTCGAGCAGGTCCACTAGGCCTTGCATCAGAACGTTCCATAGCTAGATGCTTTTCATGGACCACAATCTCAAACAACTCTCTGTATTTCTCACAGCAGAAGTCCTGAAGTCCAATTAGACGATCATAAACTCAAGGGGAAAAAAAGTGCTGAAGCAGTAAGTGTTAGTGTCAGCTACATTCTTTCTCAAGAGACGAACCTCTCGTGTCTCTGCATAAACCGGATCCAGAGGCGGCCAAGCTCTCGAACCACAGAACTGACAGCATATTGGAGAGTCCAGTTGCTGTTGGGGCTGGGTAAAAACAACAGTGTTGGGGGTAACGCATTACAAGTAACGCGAGTTACATAATCAGATTACTTTTATGTTTAAGTAACTAGTAATGTAACGCATTACTTTTTAATTTACAAGAGAATATCTGAGTTACTTTTTCAAACAAGTAACGCAAGTTACTTTTTTTCCAATTTATTGATTGACAGCTCTCCTGTCCCCATGTTGAGAGAAATCAGAAGATGTTACTGTAGTTCTAAAGTAAATATGAATATGCATTAATTCATCTCACTCACACAAAAAACCACACAGATTCAGTATTCCTCAAAATGAATAAAAATAATGCAACTCCGAATATGACGCAAACCTGTAATAATTAAATGTTAAACAACACAAATATCCTTTATGTATTTAATCCCATTCTATTAACCAATGTCTTTGCTTCTGACCTTCGATGATCCAGTTCAACCGTACTAATAAGCACAAATGACTCTAGACAAACATTTGTGTCTTTTTTTATTGCTGAAGTGTGTTGAAATTTCTTCTTCTGCATTCTACTGTACGGACGTAAAATTTACATTCCCTTCAGCCTGAGGCTTATTCATTTCACTTTTGGTGTGAAAAGGCTTTACGCAAAAGTAGCATAATGCTTTACTGTCCATAAAAAGTAACTAAGTAACGTAATTAGTTACTTTTTTATGGAGTAACGCAATATTGTAATGCAGTACTTTTAAAAGTAACTTTTTTTTTTTTTTTTTTTTTAAATCAACAATTTTTTAAAATGTTACACTTTTACCATGGCAGTGATCAAATGAATGGCTACCTGAGGACTGTACGTTCTTTCCTGGGACTCTCTTTTGTATCTTAGAAGTCCTGGAAGCCCACGACGGAGATCTGGTGAGGATTCCAATGTCTGAAAATACTCCTGCTCTATCTGCTGGACAGTACAGAAAACAGTGTGGCCAGACCATAAGAGTGAACAGGTTAAGAGAAAAAGCATTCATTTTTTTAAACACTAAAAGCAGAACCTGTATTCTTGTTGTACTTAAGTTTGGTACACTGTAAAAGTAAACAAATAAAAAAAAAAAGTTGTAAAAACCGATTATTGGAGAATGTTTTAGAAAATAAGTACTATTTCAGTCTTTATACTTCAAAATGTCATGTTTAATTCAATGCTATATGCAGGTTTTTTTATCATTATAAAATTATGAAAACTGTTTCAAACTCTGCACCATTATTTATTTATTTATTTAATTTTTTCAGTTTAAGTGATATCCGTGTAAAACGATTAAAAGATTAAAAAGTACAAGTTTCCACAATGTAAAATGTCTGGAAATATCATAAATGGTTCTTACAAAATCAATATAATTTAGGAGTGTTCCAATCTCTGAATCCATCACTGCCAAATCAGCATCTGACAAAAACACTAAAAGCAGAACCTGTATTCTTGTTGTACTTAAGTTTGGTACACTGTAAAAGTAAAAAAATAAAAATAAAAAGTTGTAAAAACCGATTATTGGAGAATGTTTTAGAAAATAAGTACTATTTCAGTCTTTATACTTCAAAATGTCATGTTTAATTCAATGCTATATGCAGGTTTTTTTATCATTATAAAATTATGAAAACTGTTTCAAACTCTGCACCATTATTTATTTATTTATTTAATTTTTTCAGTTTAAGTGATATCCGTGTAAAACGATTAAAAGATTAAAAAGTACAAGTTTCCACAATGTAAAATGTCTGGAAATATCATAAATGGTTCTTACAAAATCAATATAATTTAGGAGTGTTCCAATCTCTGAATCCATCACTGCCAAATCAGCATCTGACAAAGTGAAAAACAACATTAATATAGATGTAATTCTTAGAACTGCTGTAGTATTTTCTGGGATACACATCAGGTAGTATTATTTTCATTTTAGTTAGGTACCCTAAAATCAGAATATCATTAAATCTCTCAAATCACACTGATGAGTTATAAAAAAAAAATGTTTACGAACTTAAACACAAAATCTTAATGTTTCTGCCAAACAACTTAATTCAAAACAAATTCTGCAAAAGATGACGAATTGATATGCTCACCTTGCTGAAAATTTCTCTTTTGATTTTCCATATCACACAGGTATTCCTGGGAGCATATGTTCACTGTTCCAATGGTCCAGATTATATTTTACCTGCAGTTTCTTAGATATCATACTTTTTTTTCTCCTTGAGTAGAGAAAATATATGAGTATATGAAATATGAGATATTTGTATTCCTCTGTCACACTTTATCTTCTGAACAATGGTCAGACCTATGAGGTGAAGAATGTTTAGACTCAGCTGGATTGTTCCACAGCAGTGCATTGAAGGTATGTGTGTGTTGATGGTATCCATGGAAATTTGAGAGCTCTTAGGGGAGTTGTCCAGCCTGTATCAAACGCTGTGGGAGACCGTATAGCGTTCAGGCAGACCTGAGTGTCAAAACAGAAGCACACTGTTGCAATTGTGTCTTGGTATAAATCTTTACACAGCTAGTATGTTTGTAAATAATTCAATGTTTTCTCTCACTATATGTTTGTACGGTATTTGATTGGGTTGTATGTACCTAAATTAAATGCCCATCACAGAATTTTAACAAGTTCAGCACATAATTGGAGATGCTGTGAAAATTGTGTGCGTGAGTGTTTGTGTATACACACACACACACACAGTGCTGGGTAGTAACTGATTACATGTAATCAGATAATCAGATTCCAAAAATTAAGTACTTGTAGATTACATTACATTTTAAAATGCTCATAAACAGATTACTCTTTTATAGATTACATATTTTTCACACAATGGCAGTAAATTATTCATATTTCTCTCTTAAATTGTACTGCTTTTATACAAGCCTTCGTAAAAAGAATGGTTAGCACTTTTATTTGTAAGGTAACAACCTCGACAGCTGTGCTGAATTAATGTTCAGTGTTTGTCGTGTGACAACACTTTAAAGGGGTCATATGATGCTGCTAAAAAGAACATTATTTTGTGTATTTGGTATAATGAAATGTGTTTATGCGGTTTATTAAGTAAAAAAAAAACATTATTTTCCACATACTGTACATTATTGTTTCTCCTCTATGCCCCGCCTTTCTGAAACGCATAGATTTTTACAAAGCTCATTGGTCTGAAAAGCGAGGTGTGCTGTGATTGGCCAGCTATCCAGTGCGTTGTGATTGGCCGAATACCTCAAGCGTGAGATGGAAATGTTACGTCCCTCATCACCATACCATACTGTTGATGCCGTGTCCGGCCGGAGTGACAAGACAAAAACATTCAAATCCATTACAAACGAGGCATTTGTTGCATCCAGTGGGGACATAATTACTGATTATAATGACTTATACTGTCTTTTTACGCTTTGCATTGCGTCGCGCCACGTAAACATAAAACCCTGTCTGCATTTGTGATCTGAAATGACAAACAACAAGTGCTAACGTTACTCCACACCCAAAACTCGCGTTTGAATCATCAGTGGCAAATGATAAAAGAAAACGTACTTACGTGAGTCAGAACTGCCGACATTTTAGTCTAACGTTACTCTCCCAGGATCAGTAAACAGTCCTCCATAAAATGTGCCGGCGTACTCTGAAACACTTGTTGCTTATTGTATAGACCGGGGTGGCGAACGTCGGTCCTGGAGAGCCACAGCCCTGCAGAGTTTTGCTTCAACCCTAATCAAACACACCTGAACAAGTTAATCAAGGCCTGAAGGGTTACTAGGAAGCTACAGGCAAGTCTAATTAAAACTCAGCTGCCTGTAGCTTCCTAGTAACTGTTCAGACCTTGATTAGCTTGTTCAGGTGTGTTTGATTAGGGTTGAAGCAAAACTCTGCAGGGCTGCGGCTCGCCAGGACCGACGTTCGCCCCCCCTGTTATAGGCATACTAGAAACTTACCAGCAGGTGTGTTGAGGCAAGTTGGAGCTAAACTCTGCAGGACACCGGCCCTCCAGGACCGAGTTTGGGCACCCCTATCTTGGAGTCTCTACTAATGAGCTGATGATCTGAATCAGGTGTGCTTGATTAAGGAGACATGCAAAACAAGCAGTGTTGGGATGCTTCCAGGACCAGGGTTGGGAACCACTGGTATAGACCAGTTGGGAACCACTGGTATAGACCAGTGGTTCCCAACCCTGGTCCTGGAGGCACACCAACACTGCACATTTTGCATGTCTCCTTTCTCTGACACACCAGTTTCAGGTCTTGGTGTCTCTACTAATGAGCTGATTACCTGAATCAGGTGTGGTTGATTAAGGAGACATGCAAAATTTGTAGTGTGGGGGTGCCTCCAGGACCAGGGTTGGGAACCACTGGTATAGACTACTGCAGGGTTCCTCAAATCTTGCCCTGGAGGTCCAATGCGCTGCAGAGTTTAGCTCCAACCCTGATCAAACTCAGCTACCTGTGATTTTCTAATGATCCTGAAGACACTGATTAGCATGCTCAGGTGTGTTTGATTAGGGTTAGAGCGAAACTCTGCAGGAAAGTGGATCTCGTGGGTCAGATTTGAGGAACCCTGCACCATTCTTTAAAAACCAGTAGGCAGTATGCACTGTTTACTGGGCAGTAAGCCGTAAGAAAGCATGCCATTTCAAACACAGCCTAGGAAACCGCAGACCAGACAATAGCTATGTCCCAATGTGAAGTGTGTGGACTCCGAAGTGCGATTGCAGGATGCACCCTCCGAAGACCGCATTCCAAGGCCGATTGTGTCACGTGACGAAGGCTGACATAATTCGAAAGCGACTCCAAAATGAAGTGTACATCTGATGGACACTTTGCACCCTACCATATCCCAGAATCACTTGCGCACAGATGACGATGGAATTTATATTCAAAGAACATGAGGATGAGAGTTCTGTGAGGGAATTCACATTGAAATGTAAGTATTGTGTAAATTGAACATTGAACATTCACATTGAAATGTAAGTATTTTCATTTACTCAAATACCTATCGAAACAAGTGTTAAAAGCCAGGAGGTGCATCCCAAATTTGTGCACTATTCCATGACGTTTTGTAGTATAAATAGTGCGAGTAGTGCATTCACACTGAAAATTGCAAAAAGAAAAAGTGCACTTTAAATATCCGGATGATGCACTTAAATAACCGAAAAAAAATGAAGTGTGGAATGTTGGACACTTCATGAACTCAATTGTCACAGCTTTAATTGCGTACCGAAGGGGGGAGGGGCTACGAGGCTCCGATTATGAATGACAAAATAACCTTATATAATTCATACTATACATGGTTAAGTACATAGTGCATAAGTATATAGTGTATAAGTGCATATAGTGTGTCATTTGGGACGCAGCTAGGATTTTTTTTTTTTTTACACAAAGTCCACAAACAATAAGACAAGCACTATATAAGGCAATCGTCGTTCCCTTGTGTTTTTGTAGTGCTGTCATTCAAGAGATGTCTACAAATGTTTTAACCAAACTTTAGCACTTCAGTATTTTGTATGGATGTGCTGCGGTGTCATATTTTCTAATGTTTAGATTGCAAACCTGTCTTTATATTTTTCTTAAGTGTTTCCATTTTCTCTTGTTTTAGGACTTTTCTGGAGAAAATGAGCCTGCTGGGGAAGGACTTAAAAAATACAAAGTAAGCAAGTTAATAGAGGCATGGTTTATTTGCTCTGCCTTAGGATTGCAAGTGTCCTTGGACTGGTGAGGGAGTGAGTGGAAGCTCGTGGAGCTACTCGGGGAGGACATCAAATTCCTGAGAGAGCCAGAGGAGAGAATGGAGAGACTGTTTTCTCTTCTTGAAAGAATGGTTAACAAAAATGTATTAGCCAAGAGAAAAGAGTGGAAAAATGGGTACAGTACAATTTTAATACTTAAAAAAAAAAAGTCACATTGGCAATGAAACAACCCAATTTCTGTAGTTTATTTTTGTGAGATGTATGTTGCATTGTACTTCTGAATGTGTTTAAGGTGGTTAAATTTAAAATGGCCTAATTCATATACTGTTGGGCAGTGTAATCTATTTTTATAGTGCTTTTATAGTATTTTATAGTTTTATAGTGCTGCTGTGCTCCAGCGAAATAAACTTGTATTTGTGGATCCTTTTTCATCTATCATGGTGTTCTTAAACTGGTAGGCTTAGGCTGTATTTACAAAATGAATAGGAATCTAAGACCACACACACAAGCATGAAAGTGTTCCTTTAATAAGTAAAATTTTGGATTAAACAAAATTGTATGGACAAAAGTTTAAAAAGTAACCTATATTTGGTACACTGTAGAGGAGAAAACAAATACTTCACAGCATTTTATGGAATGGAATAAGAAACTAATTTCATGTTAAATTATTTCATTAACAAATGTTCATAAGTGTGAGTGTGCTTGTGCTTGTTTTGATATATATAAAATACTGTTCTAAGGATTTGTATTATAAGGTTCTTCATGTCACCAACTGCATCAGATTAAAAATATAAAAAACATTATTGTAGAATAAT